ACACTCGAACGGCTTCTCTAGCGTATGCTGTTTTCGTGTATGGGCTACGAGTTGGAAGTCAAAGTTAAATCCCTGTCCACAGTCCGTATAATTGCATTTATATGGTTTGGGAGCACCGGTCGAGTGGTACTGCACTTTATGTTTGATGAGATCGGTTCGCCTTTTGTAACGTTTGTCACATTTGCCACATTTTAAAGGCTTATCGTTTTGATGATCTCTCATGTAATGAGACCTCAATTCATAGATCCTCTTAAACCTCATCCCGCAGTCCAACCAATCGCACGAATGCTTGTAAATTAAGGCACTGTCCTCTCCCTCATCGGAACCGTAGCCATCGGGAAGTGCGGTCACCTTATAGTGCTGTCGCACCATATGTTTGCGGAGATAAACCTTAAGGGTAAAGGTTTTGCCACATTTGGGGCATATGAAGGAAGACTCGTGCGATTCATTGATATGCGCCGACAGTTCCCGTTGCGCATCGAAGCCTTCACCACATGTCTGGTAATGGCATCGAAACCTATACCTCTTCTTCTCATTCCCATTTGCATCAGTTCTGGTATACGATGTCTGTCTCCAGTCACCAATCTTATGACATCTCTTCTCGTGTTGCATAAGAGATCTTTGATGGAGGAATCGGTTCCCACAGCGACTGCACTCAAATGGCTTCTCCTTCTTAAGCACTTTGCTGTGGTCGGCCCCCAGAGCCCGTTCCGAGTCTTGAGACAATTTATGGCATGTCTTCTGATGTTCCCTCAAATTCTTGGCCAAAGGGAATGCATGTCCGCAGCCGTGGCACTGATGGGGCCGGTCGTTGGTATGGATACGCCGGTAATGATACCACATTTCGCACGGCTTTCGGAAAGTCATGTCACAGTCGGTCCATTCGCACAGCACTCGCTTTCCCACGCGTTTGTAGCCATTATGGGGTTCACTGAAGTCCTCGCGTTGACCATATGGAGTGCCAACAGGAGTTTCGGTAGCCTTAATGGGAGTCAATTGGCTCTTAACTCCCGTCTCCTCTTGCATGGTGTGTATCGCCAGGTGTTCCCTGAAGTACTGCCTATCGGTGTAATTGCGGTGACATTTGGGACACTCGAAGGGCCGTTGGTTTGTGTGCAGTCGGCGCTTATGAGACAGAAGTCGAGGTAAATGAGAGCTCCGGTATTGACAGCCCTCCCAATCGCAGGCGTGGATCTTCTTCTTGTCCTTCGGCTCTGCGAACGGATTGAAGTCATAATCAGATCCGTTGTCGTAATCACCGCCCAAGTCGTCGTCCACTGTCTCATCGGCGGTGTTATCATTGGACTCAACGGTCGGATTGAAAGTGTTTATGAATTTGATAATTGGTTTCTTTTTAGTGACATTTCTAGAGGTTTGCGGCACCGGTAGTATGCCGTCTACTGACACGCTATGTTCACTGCGAACACCACTGAAACGGTCATCGATGGTGTGGTAATTGGTCTCCAATTGGTTGACAACTCCTTTCAAGACAACGCTTTCAATGCAAACACACTTCGACCGCAACTCTAATAAACATTAAGATATCAAAACGTATTTAAATTACGTAAAGACTGAGCTGAAATTAAGTGAATTTTCCGCAGATAAAAGTCTGTTATAGAGAAGCTAGTGTAGTAATTACCGCTAGTGATCCGACACACCAGTCCCCGATCCTGATGACTGTGTCCAACGCCTAATCTCGTGGTCTGTTCCCACCACTGACTCGTCCAAGTCCTCCACTCTTAACCTCTTTTTTCGTTCATTTGGTCCGAGTTTGCTCTCATCGATGAACTCTTGCTTCAAGTCTTGTGGACACGACAGACATTTGATGATATGTCTCTTGCATTTGGGGGCATGTCTTAGCTGTTGATTACCGCAGTGGACACATTGAACTTGCTCAGTCCTACCACTTCCACACACGTGTGTCCATTGAGACCAAATTGGATCCGCTTTTTTGCCCATTGTTTACACAATCTTAGGCCTCAATCACAGGACACGGATCACAGATAATGACCGCAAATACTGGTCACAAGAGTTACCACCTCTTCAGTGAATCTTAAGTCAATCATTTGGACCACAATTTCGGTCAAAAAATTGATCACTTGATATGACATACGAGCGATCAGTTCCCGATGACGGTGTCTTGAGGTGACCACTGATTGGGTTAATAGTGAGCACTTATGGTCTAACCATTGGTAACACTATTACTACTATTACTATAACTATAATCACATGAACTGACAGTTAATTCACAAATTGATTGCAAATTTCAATTCATGTCAACAAAACTGAACGCAAAAAATGTTTCAAAATATTTTGAATAACTTTTGCTCAAAAATTACGCCAAAAATGAGGTGAACTTGATTTACCTTGCAGCAAGGTCCTTGCTTGATTAGCTGTAATTTACAACCTATAAAATATTATTATACCTTACTAATCAAATGTATACTAGGTTAATTTCGTTTTAATAGTTACAATTTAATTAATAGTATAGATAATAGCCTATTATATAATATAATACATGTAAATATCATTCGAGTTGTCTCATAAATGTTAACCAATTGCGGGACCAATGATGCCTTCAAAGCACTCTTAATTAGTTGTGATTTTTGGATCTTATAGTCGTTGTAGAGAATCAGTTGTAACAGCATTAGAGCACTGGTAGTCGACAACAGCTCCGAGAGTCGGGGAAAGACTTTCTCTTTAAACTCGTTTTGTTTGATAGAATAGTCGTCTAGTAATACAAACGAGAATTAGTTTACAAAAATAAAATTTCTTTGTATTTACCGTTAATATTCAATTCATGCTTCAATTCATGAAACTTTGACTCGACTTTAGCGTTACTAAAGTCATCCAGATTTGTTTGGATCTTATCTTTATTTGACTTTATTAGACCACTGATGGGAAAGGGATCCCTTTTTATGTAAGCCATTGCTTAATTATTTTAATTATTATATAAAAATCGCTTAAATTAAAGTTTTATTTCAATCACTTATTTTATTAATGATGAAAGGTATAAAAACAATAATAGATTAGCCAAACGTTTTCGATCTACAATGAGTTCATCAGGGCTTACAAGAGATGGTAAAAATTGCTTTAGTTTTATAAACGAGATTTATTTTTAATAGTTATTTGGCTTTTTAAATATCATTACATCACATATTGAATTTGTGGGACAGCTATGATCTGGATTGGTTAGCTTGAGAATAGTGGGACGTCTATCAAAATTAAGGATAGGAACACCTATAAAATATTACGTATAAAAACAGAATCAGAATCAATTTTTCACCAAAAATTAATAGACAAAGTTTTTCAACTAATAATAAAAGCCAAATAACTATTAAAAATAAATCTCGTTTATAAAACTAAAGCAATTTTTACCATCTCTTGTAAGCCCTGATGAACTCATTGTAGATCGAAAACGTTTGGCTAATCTATTATTGTTTTTATACGTAATATTTTATAGGTGTTCCTATCCTTAATTTTGATAGACGTCCCACTATTCTCAAGCTAACCAATCCAGATCATAGCTGTCCCACAAATTCAATATGTGATGTAATGATATTTAAATTTGAGAAATTGATAGAAAAAAGAGGTACTGTAGTTGTCAGTCGTTACATAATAAGCTATGCATTATTCTGTATGAAAGGATTGAGTAGTGACTCACTGATATACACTGTATATCTTCAATGTTTTCCGTTTGCTATCCCTTTCCTCTCCCACCGATCATTGGATGCTTCGAAGTCTTACGAAATGATTGCACATATTGTGTCTAAAATTGGTAATTTAATAAATAGGCAAATTTGTATTTTCAGATCATATGATGATATCTGCACTGAAATAAGTGAGATATTGTGTTACATCTGTTTTTTTTAATCATATTAAAAACTTTATTAAATCATAACAAGTTGTTTTTTAAAATATTTATAATAATCATTGACTACGTGCTGAAATGTTACCATTATGCATATGTATTGATATACTGTGTATATATATGTGCATATACATTATATAAACAAATTTGAATTTATTTAAATCGTAAAACGTGATAATGAATGTCGGATAAAGTTACTAGATTATAAACCATGAGAAAGTGAAGTGGTCTTGAGTTCAGTTAAACAAATATTTGTGAATCTATTTTTAAATAAAGTTTACGTAATTCAATCAAAATATATGTAATTTATAATTGGTCTCAAACAGATTTCCTATTTATTAAAGGCAAATCATTTGAAGTTGGTTAGTTTTAACAAATATTTTGGTCTCAATAACTGGTGTTTATTGGTATTGAATGAGACATATCGAGCCATTTGCCGACAAAAGGGTTCGCAATGAGACACTTGTGTTGACGCCTTTGGGTCTGCAATAGGCCTTAACTTTCACTGTATTAAGCATTTGATATCAGTTTTGATTCATTTGAAATCCGAAAAGCTTTAAAACAATACATCTGAGTAAATATAACGGATGATACCTGACATATAGGCTTATCTTTCGCTTCTTGCAAGCATTTTTTGCTTACGACTAAATATCAAAATATTTAGTGTATAAAGTCTATGAGTTTAAGTTCAAAAGATATAAATATTTAGTTGTAAGCAAAAAAGCTTAAAAGATGCGAAAGAAGTCAGGTTTCATCCGATATATTGACTCAGACATGAATAGACGCGACCGGAAATAAACTGTAGGCATATAAACGCCAACACAGGTGTCTCATTGCGAACCCTTTTGTCGGCAAATGGCTCGATATGTCTGCATTCAATACCAATAAACACCAGTTATTGAGACCAAAATATTTGTTAAAACTAACCAACTTCAAATGATTTGCCTTTAGAAATTAATTTTACGAAAATAAAAATTCTGAATATTAGAATAGTAAGTTTGCAAGTACCATTTTAACTATCTCACGTGTGCCGACAAAAGGGTTCGCAATGAGACACTTGTGTTGACGCCTTTGGGTCTGCAATAGGCCTTAACTTTCACTGTATTAAGCATTTGATATCAGTTTTGATTCATTTGAAATCCGAAAAGCTTTAAAATACATGAATAGACGCGACCGGAAATAAACTGTAGACATATAGACGCCAACACTGGTGTCTCATTGCGAACCCTTTTGTCGGCAAATGGCTCGATATGTCTGCATTCAATACCAATAAACACCAGTTATTTTCTGGTTTTATAAACAATTTTGATTGGTTGAAGTTTACTAAACGGAAATCTTTAATTAAAATGCTTTTATTTTTAAGACTTATAATCTTATCATTCAAACGTTCATGGTAAAATTGATAGAGTGCACAAAAAATAGTTCGCTCTAATTTGTTAACTTAATTATTACCTTTTTCAAATAATCATCTTTATCAAAATGCTCACATAATTAATACAGTGCTCTGTATACATAATTAATTGCATGTATTCATTTTCGAAATTATAAAACGACACCTAGACTAACTTATAAGTTTACCATTAGTTACTATAAATGTACATAATATAATATATTATCCGATAATAGATATGATAATTAATTTAACATTGATAATTTTGCTTTAATTGGATCATATGTAAACTAATCATTCCATATTATTATAAAATATCCAATTAAATTACAGCTAATCAAGCAAGGACCTTGCTGCAAGGTAAATCAAGCCTCACCTCATTTTTTGCGTAATTTTTGAGCAAAAGTTATTCAAAATATTTTGAAACATTTTTTGCGTTCAGTTTTGTTGACATGAATTGAAATTTGCAATCAATTTGTGAATTAACTGTCAGTTCACGTGATTATAGTTATAGTAATCGTAGTAATAGTGTTACAAATGGTTAGACCATAAGTGCTCACTATTAACCCAATCAGTGATCACCTAAAGACACCGTCATCGGGAACTGATCGCTCGTATGTCATATCAAGTGATAAATTTTTTATGATCGAAATTGTGGTCCAAATGATTGACTTGAGATTCACTGAAGAGGTGGTAACTCTTGTGACCAGTATTTGCGGTCATTATCTGTGATCCTTGTCCTGTGATTGTGTAAACAATGGGCAAAAAAGCGGATCCAATTTGGTCCCAATGGACACACGTGTCTGGAAGTGGTAGAACTGAGCAAGTTCAATGTGTCCACTGCGGTAATCAACAGCTAAGACATGCCCCCAAATGCAAGAGACATATCATTAGATGTCTTGAGTGTCCACAAGACTTGAAGCGAGAGTTCATCGATGAGAGCAAACTCGGACCAAATGAACGAAAAAAGAGGTTAAGAGTGGAAGACTTGGACGAAGACGTGGACGAGTCAGTGGTGGGAACAGACAACGAGATTAGGCGTTGGACACAGTCATCAGGATCGGGGACTGGTGTGTCGGATGTGATCGCCATTAATGATGTGATCGAAGAGATATTGTCTGAAAATAGACGCCTTTTAAGTGAATTAAAGTCGAGTCAGAAATGCATTAAATTTATGCAAAACTATAGAAAATGTTTATTAGAGTTGCAGTCGAAGTGTGTTTGCATTGAAAGCGTTGTCTTGAAAACAGTTGTCAACCAATTGGAGACCAATTACCACACCATCGATGAACGGTTCAGTGGTGTTCGCAGTGATCATAGCGTGTCATTAGACGGCATATTATCGGTGCCGCAAACCTCTAGAAATGTCACCACAAAGAAACCAATTATCAAATTCATAAACACTTTCAATCCGACCGTTGAGTCCAATGATAACACCGCCGATGAGATAGTGGACGACGACTTGGGCGGTGATTACGACAACGGATCTGATTATGACTTCAATCCTTTCGCAGAGCCGAAGGACAAGAAGAAGATCCACGCCTGTGATTGGGAGGGCTGTCAGTACCGGACCTCTCATTTACCTCGACTGTTGTCTCATAAGCGCCGACTGCACACAAACCAACGGCCCTTCGAGTGTCCCAAATGTCACCGCAATTACACCGATAGGCAGTACTTCAGGGAACACCTGGCGATACACACCATGCAAGAGGAGACGGGAGTTAAGAGCCAATTGACTCCCATTAAGGCTACCGAAGCTCCTGTTGGCACTCCTTATGGTCGACGCGAGGACTTCAGTGAACCCCATAATGGCTACAAACGCGTGGGAAAGCGAGTGCTGTGCGAGTGGACCGACTGTGACATGACTTTCCGAAAGCCGTGCGAAATGTGGTATCATTACCGGCGTATGCATACCAACGACCGGCCCCATCAGTGCCACGGCTGCGGACATGCATTCCCTTTGGCCAAGAATTTGAGGGAACATCAGAAGGCATGCCATAAATTGTCTAAAGACTCGGAACGAGCTCTGGGGGACGACCACAGCAAAGTGCTTAAGAAGGAGAAGCCATTTGAGTGCAGTCGCTGTGGGAACCGATTCCTCCATCAAAGATCTCTTATGCAACACGAGAAGAGATGTCATAAGATTGTTGACCGGAGACAGACCTCGTATACCAGAACTGATGCAAATGGGAATGAGAAGAAGAGGCATAGGTTTCGATGCCATTACCAGACATGTGATGAAGGCTTCGATGCACAACGGGAACTGTCGGCACATATCAATGAATCGCACGAGTCTTCCTTCATATGCCCCAAATGTGGCAAAACCTTTGCCCTTAAGGTTTATCTCCGCAAACATACGGTGCGACAGCACTATAAGGTGGCCGCACTTCCTGATGGCTATGGTTCCGATGAGGGAGAGGACAGTGCCTTAATTTACAAGCATTCGTGCGATTGGTTGGACTGCGGGATGAGGTTTAAGAGGATCTATGAATTGAGGTCTCATTACATGAGAGATCATCAAAACGATAAGCCTTTAAAATGTGGCAAATGTGACAAACGTTACAAAAGGCGAACCGATCTCATCAAACATAAAGTGCAGTACCACTCGACCGGTGCTCCCAAACCATATAAATGCAATTATACGGACTGTGGACAGGGATTTAACTTTGACTTCCAACTCGTAGCGCATACACGAAAACAGCATACGCTAGAGAAGCCGTTCGAGTGTACGGTTTGTGGCAAAAAGTTCGCAATGAAGGACTACCTCCGAAAACACGTGTCAGCCCAACACACGCAATACCGGTGCCAGACATGTACCCAAACATTCACGTTATCGAGTGAACTTAACGAGCATTATAGGGCTGATCCGGAACATATGAAACACCAGT